AAAGGGTAGTACAGATTTTTGAGGGTGAAGAATTTAGTCGAATGTGTCCCAGAAAGAATGGAAAGAAAAAGAATCATGATCAGTGCACAAAGATGGAGAATCAATTTCATTTTTTCTATATTGTTCCAAGATATGCCATTTTCAGAGTCCTCTGGTTGAACTAGGAATTTAGATCCCAACCTAAATAAAAGCTACTCTTGTACAGAAAAATCTGCTCTATCCAATGGTGTCATTCAAAACAAAATTGGGAATGATGATCATGACAATGACGAATGATGGGAATAAAAAAAAAAACAAATTGTGAGAGATCTTGCCTTCAAAATTGGCTAGTTTTGCACATAACATTTTTTGGCCAACTTTCAAGTGGGCCACCTCTGGACATATAGATACAACAGAGTTGCTATTGCATCACTGCATAATAGTGTGCTTGTTATACATCGTTGCAAAAGATCATGGCATTTAGACCTTTTGCTGATGAGTAAGTGGTCTCCAAATTGGGGTCCAAATTTCTTGCAACAAAATTTGGCAGTGATATTAGCATGGATGGATAGCTGAATGGTCACCCATATTGCTTTTTTTATTACACTACGTTATTCTACACCAAAAGTTGTCCTGGTATGTCAAATTTCACACTCCTACAAGCAATAGAAGTGATTTAACAAGGGGTCAAAGTTGGTCATTTTTGTGGTACTTGCGCATTAACGGGACGAGAGTGAATTGAATATGGACCTGTTATTTAAGAACCAAAGCAGATTGAGCTCTAATATTTTGCAAAGTGTCATTTGGGGTCTAGGGCTATCTTACTACAAAATTTCATGGCATTTGGAGAGGGTCGAGTGGGAGACATAGGTGACTTTTTGGCGATTTGAGATGGAATGACCCAGCTGAAAATGAACCTCATTGAAGCAAAATGTCTAAATGGGGATAGAAATGAAGAAAGGAATTCTTTTTCCTACAGTGTCAGGGACTGGAAAGCTTGTGAAATGGTACATAAAGACAAAGCAACAAAATCATTAAAGGAAGGGGACGTAAAGAACGAAGGAAGGGGAACTTGTTCCTGAAAATAGTATACTGTATATCAACATAGATGGAGTGATATAAAAATATTGGAGTTGAAGGATATAATTCAGCTCAATGTCCCAGATATCGCATTATCAGAGACGAAACTAAGAAAATATTTTAAATTTCGTATTTCCAAGGGGCTACTCAGTTTGGCGACGTGACAGGAAAACTAGGAAGGGTTGGGAGGAGTGGCTGTGCTAGTGAAAACACCTGAAGGCAAGAGAATTAATATTTGAAAACCCTTGAGATATTGATATAATGGCATTGCAGGTTTGGAATCGAGATAAGCTGATAATTTTAAATGCCTACAGCCCACCAGCAAGCAACAGATAGACAAAGGAAGAACTGGATGACAAACGAGAGGGCCTCAATTGTCATGACACACATTATGGCAAGAGCTGAAGAAGATAAATCCCAATTGTTGGTACTAGTGGACATCAACTTTAAGGCAATAGATTGGGAGGCCTACGAGGCAAGAACAGAAGACATTTGGACAGGCAGATTTGTAAACCTCATCTTGGAGACATTCATGTATAAACATGTCAAGCAGGCCACAAGAAAGAGGGAAGGGGTGATGTTCCGTTAATACTGGATCTAGTATTCACCAGGAAAGAAGAAGAGGTATTTGACATCCAGTACCTTCCTCCCTTGGGAAAGAGTGATCACATCCTCCTGGACATTAAATATGCTATGCGATATAATCTAGTAGAGAATGGGGACATTGAAACAGTTGTTGAACTATTTCAAGAGAGGATGCTATGGGAACTTAGAAATTTTGTTCATGGGTATAATTGGACAGACTTGTTGCTAGGCCAGGAAGTAAATGAGATGTATGCCATATTTTGCAAAATATACGATGAAGACACACAAAATTCATACCGAAACAGATGTAGACCTAGGAAACGGGGCTGGTTCAACAGAACTTGTGAGTGGGCCAGAGATCAAGAGACACATACATGGAATCATTATAGGAAGAGGCCAAACCCCCATACATACCAGCGATACAAAGATGCAAGAAACAACTACATGTCAGTAAGAAGAGAGGCAGAGAGGAACTTTGATAATGGTATAGCAGACAAATTTAAATTAGATAGAGGCCTTTTCAATAAATTCATTAAAAGAAAGCTGCAGGTAAAGGATAATATTCAGAGGTTGAAAATGGAGGACAGATACACAGAAAATTAAAAGGAAATGTGTGAAACATTAAATGAAAAGTTCCAAAGTGAGTTTGTATAAAATTAAATCTTCAGAAAACCAAACAATAAGAATTCCAGAGAACAGCATAGAACACAGATGTCTAAAGATGAAGTGAAACAAATGCTCTTGGAACTTAGAACAAAGCAATTGGCCCAGATGGTGTTTCACCATGGGGTCTGAGAGATGTGCACCCGAGCTCGGCATTCCACTTCAGCTGATTTTTCAGACATCCCTGTGTACAGGAGTCGAAGCAGATGTGTGGAAAAAGGCTAACAGTTCCAATCTACAAAAGTGGCAGCAGGGAAGATCCCCTCAATTATCAACCTGTATCATTGACAAGTGTAATAGTCACAATAATAGAAAAAATATTAACTAAATGGGTAGAACACCTGCAGAGAAATAATATATCAGACAGACAGTATGGTTTTCGATCTGGAACATCCTGTGTATCAAATTTACTCGGTTCCTATGATTGAGCCACAGAGATTTTACAGGAAAGAGATGGTTGGGTTGACTGCATCTATCTGGACCTAAAAAATGTTTTCGACAGGGTTCCACATAAGAGGTTGTTCTGGAAACTGGAAAATATTGGAGGGGTGACAGGTAAGCTAGCATGGATGAAAAATTTTCTGTGATAGAAAAATGAGGGCAGTAATCAGAGGCAATGTATTGGACTGGAGAAATGTCACAAGTGGAGTACCACAGGGTTCAGATCTTGCACCGGTTATGTTCATTGTCTACATAAATGATCTACCAGATGGAATACAGGATTATATGAACACGTTTGCTGATGATGGTAAGATAATAGGAAGGATAAGAAACTCAGAAGATTGTCATGCCCTTCAAGAAGACCTGGACAAAAGTATATGGAGCACCACTTGGCAAATGGAATTTAAAGTGAATAAATACCATGTTATGGAATGTGGAATAGGAGAACAGACCCCACACAACCAATAAATTATGTGAGAAATCTTTAAAGAATTCTGATAGAGAGATCTAGGGGTGGTTCTAGATAGAAAACTATCACCTGAAGACCACAAGAACATTGTGCGAGGAGCCTATGCTACACTTTCTAACTTCAAAATTGCTTTTAAATACATGGATGGCGAAATACTAAAGAAATTGTTCACGACTTTTGTTAGGCCAAAGCTAGAATATGCAGCGGTTGCGTGGTGCCCATATTTAAAGACGCACATCAACGAACTGAAAAAGGTGCAAAGACATGCTACTAAGTGGCTCCCAGAACTGAAAAACGAGAGCTACGAGGAGAGGTTAGAGGCATTAAATATACCAAAACTAGAACAGAAGAAAAAGAGGCGATATGATCACTACATACAAAATAGTAACAGGAATTGATAAAATCGACAGGGAAGATTTCCTGAGACCTGGCACTTCAAGAACAAGAGGTCATAGATTTAAACTAGCTAAACACAGATGGCGAAGAAATATAAGAAAATTCACCTTCGCAAATAGAGTGGTAGACGGTTGGAACAAGTTAAGTGAGAAGGTGGTGGAGGCCAAGACCGTCAGTAGTTTCAAAGCGTTATATGACAAAGAGTGCTGGGAAGACGGGACACCACGAGCGTAGCTCTCATCCTGTAATTACACTTACACACACACACACACACACACACACATATATGGGTGCTCATGCTGGGTACGGCCTCAGAAGCAGCTGAAGCAAACACAGCAGCAGCGAGCACCAGCAAAGCTGATGCAAATATCTAAGAACATCGTGTGGCATGTACAGTTAGAATAAGTGTTAAATTTAAGTACATAGTGTTCGTGTCCAAATTAAGGTTGCAGTACAGAAATTTAAGTGTAAAATAGTTTTCATAAAATATTGTAGTACTTAACATACAGCAGAACTACTTAACACAGTGCTAACGACAAATACACTACAGTATGTATTTACTGTACAGCATTCACAACTCCACAAAACTTAAAGATGGACATAAATCCAACAATAAGGCAAATAACTAATGTAATACAGTATTTTTTAGTAGAGTAGCAATATATAGGTACAGTATGTAGTATGATAATGCATTTTTTTTGTGTACAAGAAAAAAAAAAAAACGACGCAAATACCTCCTGAAGGTCACCTTTTGCAACGAATCCAACACTCCAACACACTGGGGTTCATAGTACGTACATGACAGTGGACAATTAGAAAATAGAAAATTGTTGCCATTTAATTTGGACAAACCAGGAAAGGTTTCGTATTTATGTTGTAACTTAACCTAACCTTACTAGGCCTAACATTATCTGAGACCTAAGGTAGTACGTATGTGCTATACAAGGCCAAGGAATATTTAAGTATTTTTTAGCTTTATTTTTTGCAGACTATGAAGTGAATAGTACCTACTAAATTCTATCTAAATGCCTTTTACTTCAATGTTTGCAGTATGATGCACATTGTTACAAAAAGTACTATCTAAGCAGGAAGATAAGTTGCAAATACTGAGTACAATACATAAAAGGGAACTAATAAATGCAGTAAACACAGTAAAGAATTCGTATTAGGAACACCTAATTAATTGAAGTCAAATGCAGAGGTTTTTCGGGCTACAGAAACTAACCCGTCCACTACTGAACATACCAATCCTACATTTTGTTATAGGTAGTCTTATGGCAATCTTAACTTTAATTATATTATATCTGGAAGAAACTGTTGACCATTTAAATCTTTGAAATAATAGAAGACAATACTGTACCTGATAGTAATACAATATCATACTTACTAGATCCTGAGGCATACATATCAACAGTGTTTAAGATCTCCCGTTCCATCTCTTCTATTTTTTTCCGCTTCATCTCCTCCTGACGTCTAAGTTCTGTCATCGGCAAACCTCTACAATCAAGTTTCTCTGCCGTCTCTTTTCGTTTTACAACCATCAATTTATATTTTTGCTTCTGTGCCTCTGACAATGTCTGAAAGAAATGCATGTCTAAGAACAAATGGTAAACAGAAGTGTTACACCGTAGTTATGATTAATATGCTGTATAAAAATCAGATTAAGAAAATCATACTTAAAATTCACTTAAAATTATAGATGAAACCATCTTCCTCCAAAAGGGGTAGTGCCTGTGGTGATAACGCACTCACCCATGCTTCGCGAGCGATTTGGCCTGGGTTTGTATCCTGGCCAGGGAGAACTGACTAGGAGACAATCTTTAACTGTACACATCTGTTCACCCAGCAGTGGTCAAGTCCCTGGTGGTTAAACTACAGTCTTTGGTTGGTCATATTTCAAGAAAAATCAAGACTAAGGGTCTTTGGTTGGTCATATTTCAAGAAAAATCAAGACTAAGGACCTGCCCAAATTGATGCGTTAGTGGCTTTAGAAGAATTTATGTATTACCTGAGGGCCACTAATCCCACTGGCCTTGATAAGGACAGGAAGCCAGCGGTTTGTCAAAGGTTCCCCGATTTGCCCTGATCTTTTCCAGTTGTATTTAAAAACAACAGTTTTTTGACATTTATGTCTTTGGCAGGTAGGCAGTTCCATGGGTTTATAACCCTACGGGTGAAAAAGCAGATCCTGTTCTCAGTCCTACATTGTGGCTTCAGCATGAAACCATTGCTCCTTATTAATGCTACTTCTGACTTTACAAAAATTGTCCGGAATCAACATTCTCTAAATTGTTCAGCATTTTAACCCCTAGGCTGCTCTTGCAAACTATAGCCTGCAACATGCCCAGGCACAAGAAAAAAAAAATGATTTTATATTATAAGTGTTCATTTGTGTTGTTTGACCACGGGAAAAATATAAAAAATTGTAGGCGACATTTTGGCCACAATAGGGTGACGAAGTCTGGCAAAACATAGGCGTTGATAGAGCAATTGTCAGAAGTGGTCAGCTCCACCTAAGCTGTCAGGCTTGAATTGGCACAAAGATTATTTGGCAACATCGTGGGTTAAAAATTGTAGTAAAAAAAAAAAAAAAAAAAAAAAAAAAAAAAGCAGAGGGATGTTTATCATGCGCAATAAAAACTGTCGTCGGAGGCATCCGAGAATTTGCGAGAACCAGCGGGAACGCTAGGAAGCACCACGTTCTCTTGTTAACTGAATGGAAGCTTGTCAATCTAGAAATTTTCTGCGAGTGGCTCGCTCGTTACTAAAAATGCTCGTAGATGGGGCTGCTCATCACCCGAGTTTCCTCCGTACATTCATATCAGCCTGGATAGCTCCAGGGAGCCAAAGGGGTTTCCCCCAGAAACATTTTATACAGAATACTCATTGGTACCTTACCTTTATTGAGAGCTCTTGTTGGCATATGGAAGACTGAGGAAGAGGGGAGGAGAAAGGGGGGTGGGGGGGAGGAGGAGAGGTTAGAATTTGGAACGTGAATCCCCCTCCCTTTATAACAGCAGTGATATTTCTGGGGTACTCTTACATTTTGTAAGCACAGCACTAGGACCTGGTTGTGGCTCACAAATTCTTAGTAAGACAAGCAAGCAGTCTATACACACTTTTTTTCCCTGTTTTAACACTTGTCTGTAGCAAGACATCACTGTCTCACTATGAATGATCTCTTGTTTTTCCTCTATAGTCATCCTCAACTATTTTCTTAGGTTGAACTTTATCACTGACTTTCTTGAAACTCAAGGAGTGATATAAAATAAGAACTTTTTTGGTTTCTGAACATAAAAGCACAAAAACAATGAAATTCTTCACAAAGAATTAAAGTGCGGTCATCACTAGGCAGGAGACACTAGGTGAGAGACTGGTAAACTAAAGCGTGCCATGTGCTCGGTCGGCCCATTACGTGTATCAATGAACTCGAGCACCGAGGCAAACTTAGAGTACAGAGTTGAATTTTTCATAAAGAAATTGAGCTAGAGAACCGAAAAATTTAAAAACGGGGGCATTCAAAAACCGAGGTTCCACTATCTCAATCCTCATGACGTTCATTTGTGGATTTATACCGTCTCCAGGGGTTCCGTTTAGTTATTACCACTTTTTACTACTTGTGTCAGCCATCTTGTTCCCTTTTCTTTCTCCTTATTTTTCCTCCTCTCGTTTTGGCACATCTTTGAACGAGTTCAGTAATGACCTTTTCAAAATTTTCCCCATGATGTTTCCATGCCCTGATCACCAATCAACTTCCTCCATGAGGTGTTTTGCAATTCCTATCTCATTCCCTGATAGTTTCCTCTATGATAATCTAGAGTTATCCTCCTGGACCTTTATGAGAGTTTCTGTAATTGTATTCCATCTTAAAATATTGTGATCACATGATGGGGGTGAGCTTTTCCCCTACTTGAATTTGATTGATCATGCCCTCTGCTGATATTAGCACAAGGTCCAGAATGCTGTTACCTCGAGTGGGCTCTACCACGTGTGAGGAAACAAGTCTTACACCAGGTCAAGAAATTGATCTGCTTGCAATGTTAGATTTACCAAAATCTAATGTCTCAGGGTTAAAGTCCCCCATTATAAGAGTTTGGGTTTGTGATGTGGCATTGATCACATTATGCAGATCAGTAACTTCCTCTGCTGTTGCTGCTGTCAGCCCTGTAGCATACTCCCACTGTCAGTATGTTACCATCTAGATCTAGTGTATTGCACCTTAGACCGAGGATCCCATTATGTTCAGTTCCTCACTGGTGGTTGCCTTCAGGTCCTCTTTCACACAAAGCAGTACACCACCTGCTCTTCTTGTTGTCCTTTCTGAACTGTGGATAATACCCTGGGAGAAGGAATTCTTGTTAAATAACATCACCTTGTCCCCATGATTCACTTATGCCAGTGATGTCTGGAGTTTCTGCCTGAGCATATGCACACAATCGTAGCAGATGTGTGGAAACAGGCTAACATAGTTCCAATCTACAAAACTGGCAGCAGGGAAGACCCCCTCAATTATAGACCTGTATCATTGACAAGTGTAATAGTGAAAGTATTGGAAAAGCTAATCAAAACTAAATGGGTAGAACACCTGCAGAGAAATTATATAATATCAGACAGACAGTATGGTTTTCGATCTGGAAGATCCTGTGTATCGAATTTACTCAGTTTCTATGATCGAGCCACAGAGATATTACAGGAAAGAGATGGTTGGGTTGACTGCATCTATCTGGACCTAAAAAAGGCTTTCGACAGAGTTCCACATAAGAGGTTGTTCTGGAAACTGGAAAATATTGGAGGGGTGACAGGTAAGCTTCTATCATGGATGAAAAATTTTCTGACTGATAGAAAAATGAGGGCAGTAATCAGAGGCAATGTATCGGAATGGAGAAATGTCACAAGTGGAGTACCACAGGGTTCAGTTCTTGCACCAGTGATGTTTATTGTCTACAGAAATGATCTACCAGTTGGTATACAGAATTATATGAACATGTTTGCTGATGATGCTAAGATAATAGGAAGGACAAGAAATTTAGATGATTGTCATGCCCTTCAAGAAGACCTGGACAAAATAAGTATATGGAGCACCACCAGGCAAATGGAATTTAGTGTTAATAAATGTCATGTTATGGAATGTGGAATAGGAGAACATAGACCCCATACAACCTATATATTATGTGAGAAATCTTTAAAGAATTCTGATAAAGAGAGAGATCTAGGGGTGGTTCTAGATAGAAAACTATCACCTGAGGACCACAAAGAATATTGTGCAAGGAGCCTATGCGATGCTTTCTAACTTCAGAATTGCATTTAAATACATGGATGGCGATATACTAAAGAAATTGTTCATGACTTTTGTTAGGCCAAAGCTAGAATATGCAGTTGTTGTGTAGTGCCCATATCTTAAGAAGCACATCAACAAACTGGAAAAGGTGCAAAGACATGCTACGAAGTGGCTCCCAGAACTGAAGGGCAAGAGCTACGAGGAGAGGTTGGAAGCATTAAACATGCCAAAACTAGAAGACACAAGAAAAAGAGGTGATATGATCACTACATACAAAATAGTAACAGGAATTGATAAAATCGACAGGGAAGATTTCCCGAGACCTGGCACTTCAAGAACAAGAGGTCATAGATTTAAACTAGCTAAACACAGATGCCGAAGAAATATAAGAAAATTCACCTTCGCAAATAGAGTGGTAGACGGTTGGAACAAGTTAAGTGAGAAGGTGGTGGAGGCCAAGACCGTCAGTAGTTTCAAAGCGTTATATGACAAAGAGTGCTGGGAAGACGGGACACCATGAGCGTAGCTCTCATCCTGTAACTACACTTAGGTAATTACAATGCATCAAATTTATTCAAGGGGCTTCTAGCATTAGTGCAGAACTTTAAATTTCTTACACTGTTCCTATTGGACACAGAGCTCCTGGATTCTAAACGTTATTATTCTGTTCGGTGTCACTCAGGTTTTGTGCCCGTTTATCTTCCAAGATATGAGAGAAGCTTTGCAACTTTGCTTTGCACTTTGATTGTAATTACATAAGATTGTAAGAGAAACTTTGCACTTTGATTGTAATTACTATGCTATGTATCCTCACAATCCCAATGTACCTTCTTGTATATAAATAAATAAAATAAATAAAAATAAATAAATGAGAAGCTGGGTGATAAGTGTAATTTGGAAAAATTATTATTAATCACACCAAGACCACCATGACATAGTACTTGCATAAAGATCATATAATGTATGTCCAGGATGGATTCAACAGCCCTTCCTGGCAGACACGAGTGATAATGACAACTTGGAGGAGCTCATCGATCTATAAGTGAATCAAGGTTGTCAATGTAACATGCCCAACTGCTGTCAAACTTCACGTGTAAGCAGTTGGTAGTGCACCCCTGGAATTGCTGGAGATTATTCCCTCTCAAATGACCTACTGTATTTGTGTGAAGGTCTTCTCCAATAAGCTGCAGACCAAAACAAAATCCCAGAACCACCTTCAAGATGGGCTGTTCCATGACAAGGGGTGGGTCTTGCCAACAATCTCAATTCGAGAAACATGTCACACAAAAGTAACAACAA